TCTTGGCTTCATTTGTGGTTGGTTCTCTATAACAGCAAATAGTTTTATCCATTTATATAATTCAAAGATGAATAAATTTCAGATTTGCCTGGTTTGATATCTTGAAACAAAATCTAGGATAGAAACTTTTACATGAGAAAAACATAAACAGAAATATGTTATCAGTTCAATTCAGTTGGCATATTTTCCAATTCAATCCAATTTCCAATGCAGTACAGTTCAGTTTATTGGGATTTCTATCTAAGTAAAAGCTCTTAAACTTGTATTTTGTGTGTGTGTGTGTGTTGCAGGTAGTGGCGCAGCTGGGTCAGGGTCCTTGTGTCGAGAGCCTGATGTGACTTTGAGCATGAGCGATTGCGACCTCGTGGACATGTTCCAAGGGAGGCTGCGACCGTTCGCCGCGTACACCAGCGGCAAGCTCAAGGTGCAAGGAGACGTCAAGACGGCCATGAAGCTGGAAGAACTCATAAAGCAGCTTAAAAAGTAGCTTCCACTGTAACTTTGTTTTGCTCTTAGATGGATGCTTAAATTGTACATGTAAATTCAATACGTTTTAATATATGTTTTTGATTAAAGTTATTAAAACTAAACTAAAACTAAAACTGTTTTTTTTTCTTTGCTTCTCGACAAGATACACAAAATAATTTTTTCACTATATAAATTTCTTTTAATTCAACTTAAAAAAAGACCTTTTAACTCATACATTATTTTGACGTTGTTGCTCAGTGTCATCGTTTGACACAGTGTACTGTTGGTGCGTTCTGCTATTTAGTACGGAAGAGCCTTGATCAGTACAAAAAGGAGGGCTGACTTTGTGGACCAGCCTCCTGCAGCCTTGTTTGAGAGGGAGGCAGCAAGTGAGCCAGAGAAGCTGTTGGGAATTGTGAGCGTTTTGTTGCTGAGATGGCCAGGTTGAGTATGTGGCGGAGCCCCGTGGCGCTGCCCCTGTCCTGCATGGAGGAGCCGATTGCCTCGGGCGTTCGCAGCAGCAGCAGCATGCCGGCGATCCGGCAGGCGTACCCGGAGAGCAGCAGCATCGTCCGGCCATTCAGTGAGATTCCTGGACTCTGGAAGAACGGGGTGGTCAACCTGTACAACTTCTGGAAACTGAATGGCTTTAGAAACCTTCACCGTATCATGCTGCAGAACTTCAACACATTTGGACCCATTTACAGGTACGCTAGTCTGTTCTTCTGAGGAAAAAAAATAAAAAAATATTTCACTGACTTCAGGGGAAATGTTGATTAAAAGTAGTTGAGAGTTTTACTCCACAAGATCACCTAATCCAACAACAAGCGACTGATGCAGTTGGATTTTTTCATTCTTGTTTTTTGTAAAACAGGGAGAAAATAGGTTATTATGAAAGTGTAAATATCATCAAACCAGAGGATGCTGCAATTCTCTTTAAAGCAGAGGGCCACTATCCTAAAAGGCTGAAAGTTGAAGCATGGACGTCATACAGAGACTACAGGAACCGCAAATATGGGGTTCTCCTGAAGTAAGAGCTTTTGCAATAATATCTGCAAGGTCAGGCGTTGTTTTTCGAAATGCTCTGAGCTTTTAATTCAGCATATGTTCATTCGATAGGAACGGTGAAGACTGGAGAAACAACCGGGTGATTCTTAACAAGGAGGTGATTTCCATGAAGATGCTGGAAAACTTTGTGCCACTGCTGGACGATGTGGGCCAGGATTTTGTGGCCAGAGTTCACAAAAAAATTCAACGAAGTGGCCAGAACAAATGGACCACAGACTTGTCTCAAGAACTTTTCAAATACGCTCTAGAGTGTAAGCCCGTTTTCACTTCAACTTGTTTTTCCACAAACGCTTTATCTAATTTTTATTCTGTCCTATGCAGCGGTGAGCTCAGTGCTCTACGGGGAGCGGCTGGGCCTGATGCTGGATTACATTGACCCTGAAGCTCAGCGCTTTATAGACTGCATCACGCTCATGTTCAAGACCACTTCCCCCATGCTGTACATTCCTCCTGCTCTGCTGAGGCAGGTCGGAGCAAAGGTGTGGCGGGACCACGTACAGGCGTGGGATGGAATATTTAATCAAGGTGATATCATCAATAGTGTTTTCAATTGCAAAGTTTATTTTACATTGCAGTTCTTTTTTTCTTTATAATTCTATATCTGATTTTGGTGTATCAGCTGACCGCTGCATCCAGAACATCTATAGGCAGCTGCGTCAGGAAACAGAAACGTCCAAGGAATACCCAGGAGTGTTGGGCAGCTTGCTTCTGTTGGACAAGCTGTCCATTGAAGACATCAAGGCCAGTGTGACTGAACTAATGGCTGGAGGAGTGGACACTGTAAGACAAAAAAAAAAAGATGGACACAGTGTCTTTCTTGCTTCAGTAAGAAAGACAATTTAGCAATTTTTTTTTTTTTTTTTTTTTCCTTAGACTTCCATAACGCTCCTATGGACGCTGTATGAATTAGCCAGACACCCAAACCTCCAGGAGGAGCTGAGGGCAGAGGTTGCTGCGGCTCGGACTGCAAGCCAGGGGGACATGCTGGACATGCTGAAGAGGATTCCTTTGGTGAAAGGCGCTCTTAAAGAAACACTCAGGTAAAAACAAAAAACAAAAACAGTTTTGACAGGTCTGAATATTAAAATTGTTTCAACCTTTTTTTTCTGTGGATCATTGGGTAGAGTGGTTGTCTTACAATTGCTAAGGTAGGTTAAATTCCAGCTTTGTCCAGTCATATGTTGATGAGCTCTTGGGTAAGTCAACTAACCCCAAGTTGTCTACTGATGTGTGTATCAGTGCATAAATGTGTTTGTCAATGTGAATGAGTCAATGTGTCTCTAGCATAAAGCTCTCTGAGTGGACCATATGACTGGAAAAGCACAATATAGGTTCAGTTCATTTTCCATTTGTTTTATTTCTTCCACTAAGTACTTTAACTATTATTATTTTGATAAAAAAAAAAACCAAAACTTTCAATTACCCTATCTAATTTTTTTAGTTTTTTTTTTTTTTTGCAATACCTACTTTTCAGGTTGCACCCAGTTGCAGTAAGCCTGCAAAGATACATAGCTGAAGACATAATTATTCAAAATTATCACATTCCAGCTGGGGTAAGGAGCACTTATACATTCATACGTTTTGAGCATTTTTGTTGCAACAGTTTTGTTTTGTCAGTGCGTCTTTGTGTTTTAGACCTTGGTCCAGTTAGGGCTTTATGCGATGGGCAGAGACCCCAAGGTGTTCTTCCGTCCGGAGCAGTACCTTCCGTCTCGCTGGCTGAGGACCGAGACGCAATACTTCAGAAGCCTGGGCTTCGGTTTCGGTCCCCGTCAGTGTCTGGGACGCAGGATAGCCGAGACGGAGATGCAGATCTTTCTTATCCATGTGAGCCATGCAGAAAAGTAAAAAGAGCAGTTTTACCTCATTATGCAGAACAGGTTGTATTCACTGCTTTGTGTTTTCGTTCTCTTTTGCAGATGCTTGAAAACTTCCGAATTGAGAAGCAGCGCAATGTGGAAGTGCAGAGTACGTTTGAGCTCATTCTGTTGCCAGATAAGCCTATAATATTAACTCTGAAACCTCTGCAAGTCAGTCAGTAAAGCATTTAGGAAATTTCTGGTGCATGTGAAGCTGTTCTCTTTTAAGTAGCCCCTTTTATTGGCTTCCAAAAGGATTGCACTTTTAAACATCTTAAATTCCTTATGAAAAAACTAAAAATTTTACCTCAGAGGTTCAGTAGTCATATTTGCTGTACACAGCTTAGTAAATACTTTGATTTAACAGTGGCTTGCTGGTCTGTGTGACCAAAAACTGGATTCCATCTCATTACTGTAATATATTTATGTATATTTGTTCAAACCGATAAGGAATAAATAGCAAAACTGATGCACTGTTTAATTTTTGCTATGAAACACTTTTGCTTTTCCAGGTATTTACTGATACTAGAATAAATTACTAGTTACAGGAGATTTATTTGCATACTTGAGATGGGTACATTCTTTCACTTTGAAGAATGTGCTAGTTTCTCATAGTTGGCCTGCATTTCTTTCCCAGCTTTATAATTCTGCACTGCCTGAAGCTCAGTAAATATATTTATATAGAGAGGCAGACAATGAACTTAACAAAACAACAAAAATATCTGAACACAACTGTAATTTAAGGGCATCTTATTCAAAGCCTTACTTAAAGACAAAAGATTAAAAAAATAAAAACTAAGCCTCTTTGCTGCTTTATTCATCCTCCAAACTACATATTGTGGCATCATATCTGTATACATTATTATCACAACATTTCAATTAAAAGCTTATTTTTACATAAAGAAGCTTTCTCTAATTTGTTATCATAAAGGGACTGTCTGCTGATCTTTTTACCTTCTCCGGTTCATATTCCCTATGGCTTTCCCAGAATGACTGTTATTGGTGATGCTACAGTTGTTCCTGCAATAATTCACTTACAATAGGAGACAAATGTAATGCAGAGTGTGGTTACTGTATCCACTTGGAATCCCTCAATCTGCAGCTCAAAGACAGAGGAGTTTTTGTTTTTGTTTTTATTGATTACATTTAAACCAAAAACAGAAAGTTTTTCCACCAATGTATTCCTCATATTTTAATCACTCTTTGCATTTAGAGGTATTGAAATGTCAGCTCTCTGAACAATCAAAGGTTACATCAGCTCGAGTTAAAATTGACTGGATTCCTTTGGAGATGGGACTTAAATGCAGTCGGTTGGTTTTAACGTCAGTAAAGAGACCTTCGGGTGCATCCTTTCAGTGAAGGCCACAGACTGGCCTTCAGGAGATAAGAGTTGTTATGTCCAATGAGTTTATCAGGGTCCATGGCCTAAAAGAGCCGCCTGATCGCAAAACAGCACTGTCTGCTTGAGAACAGCCAGACACTCACAAGGATTTTCAGTCAGCAAGATGCTTTCATCTGTTAACTTTCCACTAGTTTGCATCGTTTTGATTCACCAGAGACTAGAGTCATGATAAAAACTGGTTGTTGTTTTTTTTGTTTTTTTTGCCTAAGGCATCATCAGCTGTGTCTTCATTATTTTGTCTGTTCTTTTAAATGTTGCAGATATTTAATTTGTCCCAAGTCACAGAGTTGCTATGAATTTCCGATATCTTTATTGTGTGCATTCATCAGTGGGTAGCAATTATCACTATCGTAGTTGTTTTGACATGACAAAAACATGAACACTGCAGTGATTTTAAGATTTTTGTTTCAGTTCGAATTATTTTAAGCAAAAACAATTCCAGATAGATTTCAGACATTGAGTATGATCAATTCTGCCAACAATATTATCAATGTAATCAATAATAAACAATGCTACATATTATATCAACTGACATAACATGAGCAAAGTAATATGTACCAAAAATAGAAAACAACAGAAGACATAATTGTAACTGAGAACATTATAATATACTGAACATACATAGATAGAAATACACCTACATAAACTCTGTGTACTGTTTTTTTCCTGCAAACCTTTTTTGTGCCTAATCAAATCCAGTAAACAATGCAAACCAAATTCCAGTATTTGTGCCAGTCTAACGCTTTGCTAGACTGCAAAGCGTCTAGCTGGACTAGACTGCAAAGACCTGGCTGGATGCAACACTGCATATTCACCACTAGATGTCTCTCAACCCCATCTTATGTTGGACCATTAAGGAAATTCAACTTCTTGAGGTTGTTTTATGCACATTGTCATAAAGCTCATCTCCAACTGGTTTTGAGATCATATGATTTTGTGAATATGACAATAATTATATTGAAATGGCCATCACTGTCACCACATTCCAACACAGAGGGGAATACAGTACGGTATTTGAATACTTTAGGCCGTGATGGATGTGTACACTGTAGCTTTTTGGCTGTGCCATGACTATAATGAGGCCCGAGTGGAAATGCTGTGTTTAAGCTGAGATTCATACAACCTTAAAATGGTCATTCGTGATAATGCACGACACACATACCCTTACCATAGATCCCCTATTGAGAGCTGATCTCTAGGACCAGAAGATAAAACGTTGCAGATGCTTGTCCTCTATATAAACAACAGTCTCAGTAACTCAGTATTTAAATCAGCAACTGCATTTATTGATGCTATCGCTAGCCCAGACATTATTACTCCTGAAGAGAAGAACATCTGCAAACTGATTCTGAACTTTTGTTATGGTTGCTTCAGCCAGAGAGTAAGTTGTGCTTGCAAAAGGCAATTCTACATGAAAGACCATTTGGTAAGGATTAAGACAATACTTGTTCTAAATTGTCATATCACCAAAAGATATAAAAAAAAACAGTTTGGTGTAGGGAAGAACTTTAAGCTTGACCTCTGGGGTGTGAATACTTTCTGTTTGACAAAGGAACATGTTATATTTGATCTAGGTACAAACTGTCTGATCGTTGTCTTTCGTGGAAAGAAGAAGTGGAGCAGCCATCTGCAGAGGGGGTTTTTCCTCTCTCAATAGGTTGCTGACATGTGTGAAACTGTATCTGTAAGAAGCTTGCTCTGGTTTTTGGTTTTTGCTCTCTGCCCTGGTGAGAGACTTTTTGAATAAATACAAGACAAAATGCATTTTGTTGTTCCTAATTGCTTCAGCAGTCTGATTTTAAATAAGATCGTTAATATCCTTAACACCGGCAAACATATATTAAAACTCCCAGCTGCACATATCTTTTCTTCACTTCATGTCATTTAGCTCCATCATCTTTGTTTAAGATAAAAGAGATGATTAGAGACTAGTGAGTGCTGCTTTAAAAGATTTGCTGTTTTACCACTCTTTACAACCGATAGTTACGCCGTCAGGCTGTATCAAGCCGATCATTGTTCCCTGCTCTATCACATGTTCCCCTATCTTGCTGAAAAATGTCAGAATGAATTGATGCTAAGAACAGAGTCCACCTCTGTTTGAGTGGCGTGACAATGAGGAGATTCCAATCTGAAATGGTGTTGTTGTGACTCCCATGGGACACAGGGATGAAATTGAGCATCTAATTGAAAGGGCAGCGACAGGGTGACAATCATGACTATAGATGAGAACGTGTCTCTGCTGGGGGGCTCCCACGGGCAAAATGGGGAGGACAGCTGGAAAGTCCTTTTATGTCTTACAAATAAGAATTGGAATCTCATTGCATGTCAGTGGGAACTCGAGATTCCCTGTCAGCTGAGTAGACATTCAAGCGCCCTCTCTGTCATGCATGCAGTCAATTGTGCAAAACGATCTGTACAGAAGAAGGTCGTGTTCCATGCCGTGTCATTATTGCAGTATTTGAGAAGTGTACTTTCACTCTTGTTAAAGTGTGAGCTACTCTCCATGAATACATGAGAAAATGCCATTATCTGCATAAACACCTCCAATTTAAGAATCAGACTCATCAGTTCGCAGAGCGCAATCAGTCGAAGAAACGTTAATCTATTCCACAACCTGCTTTCTATACACGCCTCCCTTAGTATCATCAGCATCATCCACCTCCTCTCGTAACTGCTCACTAACTCAGCCTGACAGCGGGAATTGCCTCACTGATTGACTGAACAGATAAGATATCGATCATCTCGTTTCATCTTGCTTTAAATAATAGTGATCACTTTTTGAAAAAGGTCACTCAACGCGACAAATGGAGAGGACGCATGAATGTGTTTTCGATAGTTATTCTGTCAAAATGTTATAGTAATATAGCAGAAGCAGTTCACTGTGCCGCATTTCCCTGGATGTGTGTGGTTCCTGTGGGGTTTGTTGTTCCATTAGCCGGTGCCTGCTGCTCCTGCTGGGCTGTGCTGGGAAGGAAGGACTTTCTTCTGTTGAGGTGTGACCAGTTATTAAGTGGGAACCATGCCAAAGAGATTATTACATTCTGCCAAATGTTAAAAGCAATTAGTATTGGTAATTATAATTTGCATAGTTTTAAACTTCCTTAAAAAGCAGAATTTTCTAATCACCAAAGTGTTTAAATGATTATTTTTTAATGCCAGTACAAATATTTAAAAAAAATAAATAAATCTTTCAGATGTATATTTGAAACCAAAACGTTTTCACATTTTGGTTTCAAGGAGCCACGTTTTCATATATTATTTTAAGCTAATCTTGACGAGTTCCTCGGCAGGATTTCATATCTTTTCTTATTCTTCATCAAACTATAGCTGCTTTTCACTTTCTGATCATTTTATACAATACAAAGTTTTTTTTTTATTTGTTGTTTTGCTTAGACAACCAGAATTGGAACAGTTGGTAGTTCTATTTCCTTCCAGTAAGACAGTTTTAAGTTTCAAATCCTTGGTGTCTTTCTGCATGCAGTCAGTTGTGCAAAACAATCTGTACAGAATTGTTCTATACAGAGTGCTCTCTGTGTATTCTAGCTTCCTCTCACAGTTAAAAAAAAAAAAAAGAACTTAATTTATTACACTGAGGAAAATTAGGTATCAGTGTGTGAGAGTACTTGTTTAGCTATCCTAAATATTCTGGCATATTTCCAAACCTACATGGGTAAATATAGGATTAAGCCTCGTAATTAGGGAGTCTATCTGAATTAGGCTGCATTTACAAAAATCAGCAGAAGTAAATATAAAGTCCTAATATGGGTAGAAATACAAACTTGTGTGTTTGTGTGTGTGTGTGTGCGTGCATGCGTGTGAATTGTTATTAGTAATGTTCATCTCTGTATCCAACCTGAGTCACTACTAAGTAGTCATAGGAAATGGGCTAAGGTAGGTAATTTTAAAGCAGAAAAACAAATGCTGAAAATTGACAGTAGTCACATTCTATCCAGTTAGACAATGACTTGTGAGTGTTGTGTGGGTTTTACATTAAGACATCAGATCAGATACACTGTAGCCACAATCTCTATGTGGTGAGAGGCAGGACAGCTCTAACTCTGTCTTTTGAATTTTAATGTGTTCACATCACTGCCTACTCCATTTCAAGAGAGCCACTCAAAAACACATGAGTAAATATGAGTCATCAGGGAACTTTACAGCAAAGGTAGTAACTCTACAAATGTAATTATTTAAATGTAAAGCTAGACTTTAAACATTCTCCTGGTGGCCTTCATTTCTCATTATTGATAATACATACTAATTATTTGTAATTAAATATATTTTAGACAAAATAGAAAAAAAAAAAAGTTTGGTTACTTAAAACTTCCTAAACTTAATTTCAGCTTTCTGGTCAGCATAAAAAAAACAACAACAAAAACTATCATGTAAAATTTAAACTTTACAGTTTGTGAATTCTTGCACAAGCAGATGTAGGTGAAACTATCAGTCACTTTGGACCAATACCTGGCTGAAACGCATCATCTTTGAAGCAGACTACCAGTGACACATGATCTGAATTAGAATTGAAGATAATAGTGAAGACAGGAAGGAAGTGATCTATCAGCAGAAACCTATGCTTTCTACGAAACTACGAAGGTGTGTAAATCTCATCCTCTTTAGGTTTTCAAATCCTGCTGAATGTTTTAAGAAATGTAAAGAAACGGCTGTGAAGCAGTGTACTTAAAAACAAAATAATGGTGACATCTCCAACATAAAGAGGCTGCATGTGCTGCAGATTCCCAGATAAAACTGTACTCATTTTCTTTTTACTCTAAATGACTGTTTAATTCATGATAAATAATTCACTGGATGCTTTCAGCTATGTGTTCTACTAGAAGACATAATCTCCTCTAATCCAACAAGGGGAAACGTGTCTGTATAAACACTTTCAGCACTCCTAATATCACATTATCATGCATGAGACTGCTCAACAAATTCACTCAATCTTAGGTGCAAAATAATTCATATTCATATGTTGTGTTTGGCTGCTCACGCTCATGTTCGGAAAGCTTCTGACCTTTTGCACATAAGGTCTCTGGAGATTTGGCTAGAGATTCAGTCGTGGAGATGGGGCTTGGATGAGTGATCCACAGGAGGAGAGTGAGGAGTTTGGGGGTCTCAGAGGCACAATGTGACTCTTCTGTCCTATCATCAGGATTCAGCTCACAACCTACAAAATGTAGCAAATGAGCTCTTCATTGGAGGAACTGCTCTGAGCCTGCTGCTCCACTTCGCTTAATTTACCCTGCCAGAGGAAGACAGTTCCCAGGAGATTTCTCCACCTCCACCTTTCCCGGACACCTCCTTTTAGTTTTTCCCGTCAGTCCTTCGTCTGACCCACACTTTGCTCTTTTTTTTTTTTTTTTAGCCTCACTTACTTCTCAAACCTGCCATGTGTCCAGCAGTGTCCCATGCCACCAGCTGCACATGACAAGCCAAGCAGAAATAATGTAGCTGTGCTAATGGACACAGAGGAAAAAGGTGCAAAGGACCTGAAATTGGCAGCAACAGAAAAGAAAAAAACTGAGATTCTCTAGTTTACCTGGTTGAACTGTGACATTCAGCACATACGTTTGGCGTAATGAGCTTCTTTCCTACAAGAGTGCCCCTGCAGTTTTCTTGACAAAAAATTGTTGTACAAGCTGGGCTTTAAAAAAAAAAAATAAAAATAAATAAATAAATCAAACTAACCTGTGATATAATGTCTCTTTAAGGGAAATTTTCAGTTTTTAATTTATTTTGCTGTTTGACTATTTAATCAAGATAAAATCAGCTCTTGAGAAAACAAGCTTTGACATTCATATAAATCTTGTTTCATCATCATAAGAGAGGATCAATTATTTTTAGTGGGTCCTTCTGTATTTTTCTTTTTGTTTATCGTGATTTCTTGCAGTTTTTTGTATAATTTATCTTTCAAAAGTGTCTACAGTGCTTGCTGAAGAGCTACAGCAAGCACTTCACCTAGTTCAGTAAAATTTTACAACAATGAAACAAACAGAAGTGATTTGATTTGTCATCATATCTCCCCCTTTCTATTGCTGGATTCAAAATAAAATATTCTCTAACATGACATGTGGCACACTTTTACTTCTTTTTCAGTTTGTTCATAAAATTTTCATTTTACATACGAAACAATAAAAACCATGCTTCATTGTTTTTCATTTCTATTTATTGTTCCAAAACAATGAACAGAAAAAAATCCTTATTTTGGAAAATTCTCTCATCATTTATAAAGAAGACAAATTAGTAATAACTAGGTTAGATGCAATACAACTGAATTAGCCAACACTCCGTTTAAACTTGCTGTGGCAAATCTGGCAGCCTGAAAATGTAATTTACAAAGCTCACGAGAAAGAATTACATTTGGCCCAGTATGTAATCATATCTGTGCCCTATCAGGAGAATGAAATTACTTCTACAACGAGCTTCTGTATGGGCGTAAGGGTTTTTAAAATTGCAGTATGGACAGAACGAGGGACTGAGGAGGAGAGAGCAGAATGATGGAGGAAGGTGCATGTCAAGGACGGCTCAAGGCTTTGACTCAAGGACACATGGGGCTGACAGCCAATGTTGCTCCCTGTAAGGTTCACAGTGAGAGCAAAGCCAAGGATTAACTATAAATCAACATCTGTCAATTACTGTAAGGCTACTATGAAAGTGCCCTGCACCATAAACAAACAGGCCAAATGCATCTGCAGTTGCCTCTAAGCATA